CTTGTAATCGGAAGGTTGCCGGTTCGAGCCCCGGCTTGGACAGTCTCGGTCGTTGTGTCCTTGGGCAAGACACTTCACCCGTTGCCTACTGGTGGTGGTCAGAGGGCCTGGTGGCGCCAGTGTCCAGGCAGCCTCGCCTCTGTCAGTGCGCCCCAGGGTGGCTGTGGCTACAATGTAGCTTGCCATCACCAGTGTGTGAATGTGTGTGTGAATGGGTGGATGACTGGATATGTAAAGCGCTTTGGGGTCCTTAGGGACTAGTAAAGCGCTATATAAATACAGGCCATTTACCATTTACCATTTTATAGCATGATGCTGGAATTTAAGAAGAATAGGCTACTGCTGATCATAACAAGACAAGAACAAAGCCTTGTGAAGCTGCTGAAGCGCCACCTGCCTAGCCTAGAGGTAGCAACCTTACTCAGAGCGGAAAGAGTGGTGCGGCTGGTCAAATAGAATAGGATGGTTTTGCTCCATGATGAGCACTCCTTGTCTTGCACTCAGGGCCCCATCATCAACCGTAGACCCTCAACCCAACTTGAGAGACCACCGAGGAATCTTCAAAGCCAACTCAACGACAGTGTCACCTCCCCCAACAATTCAAAGATTTTGACATGGACATGTGGGGTTTTGGAGACAGCTAACCACCTAGTTGGGGGATCTCATAAGCTGATGAGGTAGGCCCTCTTTGATGCAAGTTCCCAGCAGAAACATGCTTACTGTATGATTCAGGGTGAAAGGTCTTGTACCTGGGGAGCAGGTGTCAGCCTTCAGCCTAGAGAGAAAGATAAGCATTTCTCCTAAACTGATGAGCCAGTGCGTTGGACTCTGCAATGTGTATGACAGACTGTCAGATGTGGTTTACATGGTGTGGCTGGTCGAATAGAAAAGGGTGGTTGTGCTCCATCGTGACTGTCATGCACTCAGGGCTCCAGCACTAACCCTAGACTCTCAACCCAACTTGAGAGACCACTGAGAGAATCTTCTAATCTGACTCAACGACAGTGTCACCTCCCCCAACATCTCAAAGATTTTGACACAGACATGTGGGTTGTTGGGGACAGCTAACCACCTAGGTGAGGGCTGTGTGGAGTGTGGGAGTGTCTAAATGTAATTTCCCATCATGCCTCTGGAACACTGTGTTTCATATTGAATTTAAGTAATTTATGTTTACTGTTATGGTTATGTAGCTGTAATAGTATGTTCCATGCTGCAGGTCTGTTTAGACTTATACGTGTTCTTTATGATGGAAAAGAGATGCATATGTTATAAGTTATGCACAGTGATAGTAACCTGCTGGAAGCACAGTGTTAATATGCTTTTTAAATGCAAATGCTCTCGCACTCTGGGGCCTCTGGATGTCTGGGGCCTGGATCTCCTCCATGCCTGCTTCATGCCCTGGGGGACGGGGCTATGGCTCTCTACATCCTCTTGCAGACCATTACATGTGGAAACCATTTGAATACAAGCGCGCTGATCCACACAGGTGTGCACACGCGTGTTCACTGTTCGTAGACTTAAATTACACCTTTCTTGGCTGCTACTTCAAAGCACATTGTGCGCTGTCTGTCCTGCGTGCTGCACAACAACATTGAATATTTAGTATTTACTGCTGTTTACACTTAGCTAGATTAATGCGATGGTGTTGTGTTTAGTATGTTGCTTTGGTTTTTTTTGCTTGTTTTCTATTCTTTCTCTCTCAACAGGTGATCCAGGAGATTTTTTTTCCCCCCCTTTCTCACTGTCCCTCTCCCCTTCTGTTTTTCTTTTCCTTCCTCTTTCTTTCTCCCTTTCCTATCCCTCACTCATGTCTGTCCCGTCTGTAACAACTGAAAATAAAATAAAATAAATAATAAAAACAAAGGTCGATCAAATGGACCAATACGGCAATGCCACGATGATCCATTTGGCAAAATAAATCCATTGGGTATCCTTGTTGGTCTTCAGACAACAATTCTGACGGCTAAAGAACCAAATGGGACAGGCAAAAAAAAAAAAAAATAAAAAATGAAAAAAATAAATGCAGAATAAAAGAGCACAGCCTTTGGAGTTGTAGGGTTTACAGCAGTATTTGAAGATTCAGTGCCTCCTTGTGAGTTTCTTGCTGTCTGATTTCTCAGCTTGTTGCAATACTTCACATTGAATCTGGCTCTATGAGTAAATGTATTTTGTTGCTTAACCACTGAATTGTACTCATTGTTTCCTAATTGTAGGTGATTGTGCAGCGCTGCCTCTCTGCCAAGAGTCTCTCTCATGTAAAGGAGGTTGTATCCTATGTGGTACCTGAAGATACTGCCCATGTTCCTCATGGTTTTCCCCGGGATGATTAGCAGGATCCTGTACACAGGTGAGTGTGGTGTGTGGTTTTAAGAGTCTGTTGTATGTAACTTATGTAGCAAGCTTACTGGTATATTTATTGTAGTTCATAAATATGCTGAACGATACTGTGGATTTTCTTGCCTTTAATCTAGATGTGGTAGCATGTGTGGATCCAGGAATGTGAAAAAACTGTGGGACCAGGTGGGCTGCAGCAACATTGCTTATCCGAAACTGGTCGTGAACTCATGCCTAAGGTTGGTGACCTTTGTCTTATTAGCTGTTAATAATAACTTCAGTTCTTTGCTTATTTTCTCTTTTTATCTGTTACTCTATTTCAGGCTTGCGAGGTCTTATGCTGTCTGTGATGCTGGCCTCTTTGATGAGCTCCCTTACCTCTATCTTCAACAGTGCCAGTACTCTCTTCACCATGGACATCTACACTAAAATCCGTCGCTCTGCTAGTGAGAAGGAACTCATGATTGCTGGCAGGTAAAACACATTTTTGTTCGCTGTGTCTGATACAATGATGTCTAAAGTTGTTAAATACTGATTGCATTTTTTTCCAACTATGTACAGAGTTTTTATCTTGGCCCTGATTGGTGTGAGCATAGCATGGATTCCTGTGGTGCAGGCAGCCCAAAGTGGTCAACTCTTTGTCTACACTCAATCCATCACCAGTTACCTTGCCCCACCTGTTGCAGCTGTCTTCTTGCTTGCTATTTTTTGCAAACGTGTCAATGAGACTGTGAGTTGCCTCCTTCAGTGTTTGCTTGACTTTTTCATGAAATAAGAAAGAAATCTGTTCTTCACTGTTTTTTGTGCAGTGAAAGAATCCTTCACATACCTCTGGGATTTAGTCAGGAAAATGTTATCAAGAGCAAAGCTTTTGTCATTTGTCGCTTGGGGAAAAACTTTTTATGCCGAGTGTTAGGGATAAATGATTAAACCAATCTGTAAGTCTGTAGAGAAAAATAAGCCAAGTAGTTCATAGCGTAGCTCAGTAGATGGACTGGGAATAAAATAGAGCTCTCAGAGTGCTTCTTGGCAAAAGTAGTTATTTCCACCCACAACCACTGAAAAAGTTCAATTATTAATAAGTTGTTTAATTATTACAAAAATTTCCACATCATGGTTGAAATGTAAAACCAACAGATTAAAATGCAACATTGCGATAAGCGCTAGGCCACCACGAACTATTCATCCCCGTGGTGTCTTGGCAGACACTTACTACTTGAAACTCAGCAAGTCAGAAGGATTGTGAGCCCCTGCTTTCAAAGTCTGTATTCATAATTGAATTGCAAAATTTAATTGTCTTATAGTTATCTCTGGATTCCATATAAATAGTCACTTTCTATGTGTTGACAATCAGCTTGCGTAACATCCCAGTAGGTCCTGACCAAAAAATAGTATTACACTTGGGCAAAAGTGGTAAATATTCCTTCATGAACTGTCCAACTACTTTTTGTAGACACATTTTTTATATTTTGGATCTGTACATGTACACAGGATGCATGTTAGCTAACAAGAGTTACAAATGCTGGTATGTTAATATACTGTAAGAATCATGATTCCAGCTTCCTGTTCAATATGCATCCAAATGTAGCGCTGATTCAATCTCACTTTTAGCAAGAAGCATTTATCCAAAACTATTTCTTCAAACACAATATTATATATACATATATATGTTGCTATCTATTACTATTTTACTATATTGTATTTATTTACCATTTTTAAAACCCTTAAAGTTTTTAAAAGTATTTCGATATAAAGTAATATTTGTCCTTTTTTCTTTCTTTCCACAGGGTGCATTTTATGGCCTCATAATTGGGCTGTGTATGGGCTTGAGCAGGATGATTACTGAGTTTATTTATGGGACAGGTAGCTGTGCTATCCCCAGTAACTGTCCCACTATCATATGTGGAGTTCACTACCTTTACTTTGGGCTCATTCTGTTTGTCATCTCCGGCATCATCATGCTGGCAGTGTCTCTCATGACCAAACCTATTGACGACAAGCATGTAAGTTTTTAATTTAAGACACCAAGATACCAATGCACCCATATATTTTTCTCTGTTGCTCCATTCATGCTGTTGACACCCTACCATATACTTTCTCCACATCTACAACACCTCCTGACCTCTCATGATCCTGTCTGACACTCTCTTCACCTCTACAACAGTATACACATACTCTTACAGGGCTCTACACTAACTTTTTGCTTTTTGCCAGTTGCACCAGCGCCAAAGTTAGGCACACCCACATTTTTCAACCGCATTGCTTAACACCACAGTTTTACATGTGCACTTTTTTTGGGGAAATTGCAGTCCATACAGACAATATTGATTTGTAAATGATTAACTAACAATCTTGTCAACACAAAGTTCTTTATTTGGAGCACATTCTACAAGAAAGATAAGTTACTGAAAAAGTGCTTGTGCTTAAAGTGCTTTGGCACTCTTTGGCAATATTGTAGACAATGTTAAACTTAATCATCACATCGGCCTCCTCTGACGACCTGTTTGCTGCTGCCTGCCGCTGAAAGGCAGTGGGGAGAGGGGACACTTGGAGCAGTGCATTTATCGCAGCATATAATGTTTTTCTGGATACACTGTGTTTTTTCAGCGTTCAGAGATTGATGGCTCCGTGTCAGAGCACTGGCTATGAATTTCAGACAGATCAGGCCTTAACTTAACAAAAAAGTTATCAATAGTTCTTTTCATCTTTTCTTATTACCCACAGCTACATCCACTTCTCTCAGGCCTAGGCTACTCACTAGGGCTGGGTATCATCACTGATTTCTATAATCCATTCAATTCGATTCAATATTGCCTCAGACAGTCAGAAATATTATAATTCTGATCATTTATCAGTACTGATACATTAGACTTCATCAGAATTGTGAACATCACAGCAGATGCCTTTGTGTGAAAGTAACTGAGAATAAAACACAGAAAAACATGAAGGAGATTTTCCCTGGCTTTTTATAGCAGATAACCTTAAAAATATTCTGCAATTTTGCATAATTTTAAAAAGTTTAAATTTCTTCAGTATTGAACAGCAGAAATTAGGCTTTCTTGTCCGAGGTCATTTAAGTAAAAAAAAAAAAAAAAGACAGCGGCCGACAGCGCTGTAAACAACGGTAGACTGGTGGGTAATAAGCGAATGAATAATGCAGAAAACAGAGATGAGAGAAACTGTTCTTAAGTACAAGAGAGAGAGAGAGAGCGTGCAGGAAGTTGATTTTTATGCTGGATGCAGAAAGCAAAAACAGCAAAAGTAAGAGGGAATTAATGACGTATATCCTCTATTTCTTGTTTTATCAAATGTGAATGAGTTTGGATCTCTTTTGCTGCTGGTTCAGTGATTTGGTTGGAGAGACAAAACCTGCAGCTCTTGTACCTGCTCTCATTTGCTGTTTGATGGTTGTTGAAATAGTTTTGTGACTTTAACCTGAGTATTCTGGCTTTCTGGAAAATAATTTATATTTAAAAGTCGATTCACGATTTAATAAATCGATATCGCTTTATTCAAGCAACTCACCTCTCTCTATCCGCCTGCACTTTCAAACGTACTTGCGAAAGGCTACAGGAATATCTAGACCAATCAGAGAGGTCCCACCCCTGACTATCCCTGATTGGTTTAGACCACGACAGAGGCATAATGTGTTGTTGACCACAGAGACTTTCAGAGTTGCGGAGTCTTTTTTTCCCACTCGAACAGTTGGTCACACCAGTGCGACCTAAGATTGTTTTTTAGTCGCACCATTGAAATTGGTCGAACTCTAGAGTTTGAATCCATCTCCAGTGCTCTTGGCCTTGCTTCTATTCCATCTACTCTTTTGCACACAATACATCTATCTTCTTCATTATATCCTCCAGCTCTCTCCCTTTACCAGCCATAGTTGTAACCAGCCTACATTTAATGTTGCCTCTACACTCCTGCTTTTTTCTTCTATCTTGCTGCCTCCTAACACACCTTCCCTCTATCCTCATCCTCCAGCTTCTACCAGACTGATCTAGTATGGAGATTTAACTTGCTTTAACCTTCATATCTGCTGAGTCTCCTTGTTAAACTGTGTTTAATCAGCAGTGTTGGGACTAACGCGTTATTAAGTAACGCGTTACAGTAACTACGTTATTATTGTGGTAACGAGCACGGTAACTAGTTATTATGCCAAAATCAGGAACGCGTTACTCGTTACTGGGATTTAGATAGGTCGTTACTCGTTACTTCGTGTGGTGGCTATCGCGGAGCTTCCACAGATTCAGTAACATTAGCAAGTGGTGGAGGCAGCAGGTGGATGAAAGGACCGAAGGAAAAGAGACCCGAGGCGGCCGCCGGTCCAAGTGTGAACTGAACTTCAGGTAAGAAGTTATGACCTGCAGTCTCTCTGGGTCAGATATGAACCAAGTTTAGGTGGAGTTTATTTTCGTTATGCTGACTTTTTCCGTACTGCGTGCTAGCTAGCATGACGGAGTTTCTATACAGCTGGGTGGTGCTATGAAGTTAATGATGTTGAACTTTATTTTGTTCATAAGTTATTAGAGTTGCCAACCGTCCCGTCTGGTATTCAGAGAAAATATTACGCGTTTCTTATTGAGGTGAAAAGGAACAGTTTGTCCCGTAATTCAGCTACAATGAAAAAGACACAAAGCTGGAGTTATTCTGTGTCTTTGCTGCACAGCTGCCTCTTCTCCTCTCATCCTCTCCCCCTCCCTCTCCCGTTTCTACTTCAATCATGAAACTGATCAATGATCACTTAAAAAAAAAAACTGCAGCGAATACGCCCACAAGCCGCTAGCGATCAGACTAACTTATCCCGAATGAGTCTCTTAATGACAAACACAAACGCGGCGGTTCGGCTGTATTCACATTGCAGCTTGGGGTCTGAACAAACTTTAATTAGCTGAGAGCAACGTGGCAGTGACTTACCTCCGGCCATGCTGAAAGGAGCTGAGACCGGGGCACAAATGCGCGCGCCTACGTCACCACGCAGCGCACACACACGAACGCACACAGACTCAGATCACACAGGTAGGAGATTGAGATGCAAAATGAAATTCTTAATTGAAAAAAGGGGTGTTTTGGGTGAAACTGACAAGTATTTAACACATGTTACGCATACATATAAACAAATACATGCAAACTTTCATTTTTCTTGTTTCTTCTTTTGCAGATGATGAGCCTGGCTTCTTGAAGAAAGCGGTGATGTGCTTCTGCGGCCTGGAAACCAAAAAAGCCCCCAAGCTGACTAAAGAAGAGGAGGAAGAGCTGCAAAGGAAGCTGACAGACACCTCAGAGGTGCCTCTGTGGAGGAACGTAGTCAATGTCAACGCCATCATCCTTCTGTGTGTGGCTGTGTTCTGTCATGCCTATTTTGGCTAAAAGTCAGCTGATTTCAAGTGCTCACCGAGTCTAATTTATGCAAATTTAACAGACTGCTCAGTAGGCCTCAGCCCTAAAACCCTGTTTAAACCTTATATGTTTAGAGCACTGTGCTTTTCTTTATTGCTTCCTGGTATTTAAAAGTTTAAGTGAACCAGTAGACAGTAATATATTAATACATATTAGACTTAAAAAATGTTGAAGTGCATAAATATTTACACATTTGTATGCTATTTGTCATTCTAAAATGTCTGAAGATCATTTGGGCTAAGTATGAATTTTCTTCTTTATCTTAATAATGGTAAATTTAAAATATTTTGTGAATGAAGCTGCAGGTTAGCCTTCACTTGTAAAGAACAATCTAGCACTGTGATCTGTGATCATCTTTGGGCTCTTGTTTGTGTATTCTGAACCATTATTACATTTAGCTTTCATTGCAGTGGTCACCAGGACATAAAAACCTTGCAATGGCCTGTATTTTGTATAGCACCTTACTAGTCCCTATAACGACCCCAAAGCCCTTTATACATCCAGTCATCCACACATTCACACACTGGTGATGGCAAGCTACATTGTAGCCACAGCCACCCTGGGACGCACTGACAGAGGCGAGGCTGCCGGACACTGGCGCCACCGGGCCCTCTGACCACCACCAGTAGGCAACGGGTGAAGTGTCTTGCCCAAGGACACAACGACCGAGACTGTCCAAGCCGGGGCTCGAACCGGCAACCTCCCTGACGAGCTCCCAACTCATGAGCCACGATCGCCACGTATATAAAATCACTATTCACATCAGACAAAAACACTTCAAAAGTTTATCCTAGAATAACGTATCATAACGTTTCTTCTACCTCCATCTTTTCCGTTGTAGAACTCGCTCATAGAGTAACACTCTGATGCCATATCTTTTTCTTATATCTTCTCTGGCCTTCAGGCAATATAAAAAAGACAATATAAAAGCAATAAAACCTTAACTGACCAGATAGTAACTACAATAATAATTTTATTATGCTGATGCCATAAAAAAGGTCGCTGAGTTTGGTGAATCATACGATCATGGAATGCAGGGTGTTGCTTTTTGGCAACCACACCTACACCACACCTGTGTCTTCACAACCAAATAATTACTGCAAGCTAAGAGCAAGCTTTGAGCATTACACGTGAGAACAGAGCCTTGAACACTATCATGTGGTTTGTTTATCAGGTGTCAAGCAAAGTAATTGGAAACAAAGCATAAGGAAAGAAACTTTAACACAACCTGTTCTTCACCTGTCAGAGCTCAGTGACATCTGGCTCATAAAGCTGTTACTGTAGGGACACCTAGTGGCAGCTGATAGTGCTTGCGTCTTTAGACGCCTCATAATATTGTTTGCTTGTGCTGCATCTATTTATTCCTGCTCTGTCCACTCTGATACTGTAATATTGTGTTTCCCAACTGCTGGAATAACAAAGACTGTCTTATCCAAATGATATTAACATGCAAAGGTTCACAACATCAACTGTATCTGTCCATTGACTTTAACATACATACATAAAAATCATACATATCGCCCTCTGATGTGTTTCCTTTGTTGTTTTGGTGCTGTTTGGTTTGGCTGAATATCACAGGTAACATTTTTTATTCTGACATTGGTTCTCGTGTATTTTTCAGTCTGTTACAGACCTCC